ATATATATTTTTATTAATTAGAAATATAAAGAAGTTTAAGCAAATGTACAGAAATAGAGAAACCGGGTAAAATGTGTGAACTTTGTTAAATGCATATTTTCTCTCTGTAATTTATATTTCTTTTATTATATTTACAGTTCATTATCATGCGAGTGTGATTTTTTTTGTTTCCCTTCCAGTCTCGAAGGGTCAAATATGAGGCCAAAGATGTAAGTTAGTGTTTCATCTCCATATCTTTCGCAACTTAATATCAAATTGATGAATACCTTTCAAATTATTTGTAAAGAAGAACAATGCTAAAAACTGGTTTTCTCTATTGTTAAGCAACCAGTATTTCAAAGATGCTTGTATAAAATCAAATTATCAATTTTRTTTGGAAGCACCAGCATTTTCACAATTTTAAAATAAAAAAAGTCACCCGAACACGCTTTAAATAATGCATTAAAATTCATCAAATGCACTGTATCATTGGTTTATATCAGCTTTTCTCTGTTGTCTTCACAAAATGAGCTCTGATTTGATATTTACCAAGCATTTGTGCAATTATTCCTTTCATTTCCTTCCTCCTAGAATGAGGAAGATGCCAACAATATCCCCATAGAAGGCTTGTCTGTTCAGCATCCCCAGGTGAGGGATTCAGCAGAAGCTGCACTWATTTGTCATGATTCAATGACCTTGATGATTGTGTTTGTGTGTGTGTATGTGTGTCTGTGTGTTTGTGGGAATGCTTGGCTGTGTGTGTGCATACACACATGGGAGTCTCTGTTTCCTGGATGGATGCTCTCAGCAGTAATAACTCAGAGTAAATGGCTGTCTGTCTGACAGGGCCAGCTCAGTAGATAGGTGTATCTCACCTGAAGACTTACTACTATTGTAACTCATTTTCTAAGATTATTGCCATTTTGAAACGCAGCYAAAGCAGTTTCAGGTGYAGTCTACGACAGACATTTTGCAGCCATTTCTTCTTCATTATATCCATGAAGACCATTAGTAATTTAATGTTGGACCCTCACGCTATACACCTTTATCTATTGTTCCTTTTTTCCTCCTTATRACTTTTCCTCCAGCTGTAGTGAACAGAGGTTTAGTTCACTACAGCTGTCACTGTCTGCAGTGAATGCTTTTTTAAAAATCTAATTTTAAAGTGCCCGTGACGTCATTTATTGAAATAAATACGAATACATTTTTGGAAAACTAACCTTTATAACATATTTTAATTAGATTTTCCTCAGCTGTACAGTTGTTGAGATATTTGCATGTGAATCACAGGAAGTGATGACAAAGGGGAATGTCTGAACATGAACAGAGCGTTGCTAACTAACAACACAGACTGTGGAGAAGAATCTGATGTTTCCGTAGATTATTTTTGAGTCCAAGATATCCTATATATTTGATACCCAAGAAAGAATTAAGAAGAGTCAGAGTTCAAATAATACCGTTTCAATAAACAAAGACCATGAAGTTATCATTTAAAGGTTCCCCTTTGATGTCACTTCCTGTTTCGCTTTTGCTGAGCCAAGTTCAAAAGAAAACGTTCCAGTTATGTGACAAAATGGGTAAAATAGTGTGTATTTATGCCATGTTTATTAAATATATGCAGGTTTACTTTGACTTTTTGTATTTGAGGGATATGCATGTCACAGGCATTTTAAATTCCTGCTGAGTAGACAAAATATGTGATTTATTATCTGATATGTTTTAATTCAGGTGGAACCGTATGAAAATACACCGTTCATTCAGGGTGCTGTTAACATGGTACTACGACTACGGTAAGACTGAAGACAGTTTCTTTCAAAAATCACACTGAAAGGTCATAAAGTGCACTCTTTAGTCCACATCATCATTTTACTTTGATTCAAACCTACAGTCCACTGAATGAATACTCACTTATCTTCTCACATTTATGTCATGTACTGTTTGAAATGTAGGGAAGACTGAACTGCAGATACACCAAGATTGTGCAGCTTGTCTCCTTTTTTGCTCCGACTTCAGATTAACAAAGCGAACTGCGCTGATTACTGTATACGCTGGTGTAAGTGTCCAGTTTAGGGGGTCTAACTCTCTCTCGTGTCAGATCGTAGCAGAAAGCTGTCCTCGCTGGACAATCTGTCATGACCATCCATCACAAGCACAGCGGGAATAAACATGAAAGCGAGAGAGAAAAATGTGTTTTCACACGTTTCAGCAAATGAAGGACAGAAATAAAAACATAGGAGAGGGTGGGCAGTAATTATTTCACAAAACATTTTTCAGTTTGAAGCACTACCAAATGCAAGATTTCCGAATCATAATGAACTAGCAACTACAGTATTTTATGCACTTTTTTTTGTTAATTTATGGTAAAATATAACAGCACGTGACTCTTACTGGAACAAGGAATAAATTTATTGACATGCCCATCCTCTTGCCTGTAAAGACACACTACACTTSTGTTTCTTTCTCTGAATTGTAAATACAAATAGCTCTCAGGAGACACTCCATGTAGCAAACAGCACTTGTTTTTGAGAATCTGATGGGTTTTTCCACCCCCCTGGTAGTTATTTACATAAACATGGGCAGGTTTGTCTTTAAATTCATGCACAAAGCCTCATTGAAATGTGTGCAAAGTGCACCAGTGCAGAGAGAGACGCTGTGTGGTTGACAGCCAACTTTAACACACAAAGACTCAGTTGGACGGGGTTTTGTGAATCAGATCGATGGATGAAATCTTCGGAGCCGTGCAAAACAATCAGGGCTCGAGTTTTTCTGTTTGTGATTCACAATTTCATTTCACTTACACCACAGCTATGTTTTTTTTCCTGCTTGATCGCTGTTTCTGAAATTATTCAAACGATAAAATGAAGGTTTGTGATTCAGCATAAATCGGTGTCGACACCTGGCTGTTATTAAACACCAAAGTTTAGTGGCACCTTTTAAAATGGCGGCTTTAGAGATCAATACTCAATTAGTCTTGCATTCAGTCTGTCAGTGCATTTTTTTGWTTTTTTGTCAATCTCTTACGAATCTTAAAAACCTAGGAAAAGACTTGGTGTGCAGACATGCAGTGTCAAATATCAGTTTGTGAATTTTTAGGCAGCTAAGATTTTGCCTATAGTTCTGTGTTGATTCGAGCATTTTCTAGTTTGTGCAGAGATCTGAAGGTCGCCTGCCTCCCAGCACAGAAAAAAATATCTTGTTCATCAACAAAACATGGCTTTAAAAAAATATTAATAATAAATAAGTGGCATTGCATTTATTTGCTTGGCCTTATTACAATAGATGTTTATTAGCATTTTAATACATCATAAGCAGTTTTTAATGTAAGTGTACTGAACAAATTTTCACAATAAATGACCTTGTTTTGAATGCGAGGTTGTCAAATGTAGTTTCTGGAGAGAATATTCCATTAGAGTTATGAATGTGTTGGAAACTACCGTATTAGGTTTGATGGCCCAGTGACATCTTTTTTTTTCTAACAAAAGCTTTTTTGCTCAAATGATTGACATCAGTTTTTTATTTCACACGGAAAAGAGCAGCCAACATTGACACAGCAAAATACAAGAGACTTCCTGAAAACAGGAGCACCTGAGCTGTTCTTACAGTCATCACATCTTTTTTTTAACCTTTACTCAGAGTCTTATTTCGGGTATAATTTGTGGTAGTTTTGAGTTGAGAACTGTTTGAGAACAGTGTGTGTTTTTTATTTTTTATTTATTTTTTGGTCTTTCTGCTCTGTTGAGGATTTTTGGCTGTTATATTTTAAAGTAAATCGGCACAGAAGGTTTTGGAAGATAAAAGCCTGAACTCGCTGTTCTTTGGCTGAGCTCCTGTGTTGTGGAGGCAGAAGAAGAGACGTTTATGTCTTCCTTTTTACAGGATCAGGCTGTATGCAAAGCAGTGAAGATGAGGATGGGGGTTAAAAAAAAGCTTTGTTTGATTTAAAAAAGGAAGTAAAAAAGCTAAATCAGTTTAATTTTTGATTTAATGGTTTAAAGTTCTTTTTAAGACATTCATCTCTAAGCAAGATGTAAAAACGAAATATTCTGATAGACCAATCTGCATCATCGTCTGCAAATCATTAAATCAAATACCGGTGTTTTAAAAGCATATTGTGTGTTACAGTGTCTACATGACATTCACAATGTGTATTTGTGTAGGTACAAAAATAGAGCTAGATGTAGGTGACATTTTCAAGGCCTCGTGTTAAACAGCTTAACAAACATTTTGCACGACTGCACAGTTAAAGTATTCATGGGCTACACCAGCCTGCTGACAAATCACAGCCAGAAAAATCTTTTGTTTCTTTGTTAAAATAAATTTAAAAAAGACCTGAAACCTTTGCTTTAATCCTTTCACCTTTTTTAAAAATCCTTTCACTTTTAAGACCCTCGGTGTTTGCTCTCCTTTGTTCCAGTTTATAGGTTTCCAAAAGCAAGGAGGTGGTGACGCATCACAAATTGTTAGGCACGCATTTAAAACTAAACACAAAGAAAAGCTTTGGTGTGAAAGTACATGACATTTTAAAAAAAATGTTTGATTCTAGAAAGGTGGGATCTAGAAGTAAATTGCATTTGAGCAAAAAACAAAACAAACTGTTTGTTTCCTTTCTCAGCAGAGTAGGACGTTGCTGCGGATTAGCTCGAGTTTAGGGTAATGCGATCGTCTCCGAAGCAAAGAGAGCAAAAAATCAGAGCATCAGTATGATTAGTTTATGTTCAACATTTGGCTCAAAAATAACAGACCCTTTTTTTTCCCCCTCAAAGCATCAGGAACTCATGAGAATATCAGTATYGACAGATTAGAAAGGAAATGTGTATAATGTGAGGCTACTGGTGTTCTGTTACTGAAGCTTAAAAGACCAGGGAAAGGACAAATTGAGTTGAGCTACAAAGTGATATTTCCTTGTATTCTTTCCTGTTATTRCCTGCCATGAAAACAGATCATGTAATTTCATGTGTGTGTGCATGGATTTGTCACACTATAACGTTTTAGATAAGTTATGCCAACTTGCGAAAAAAAAGACTAATATATAATATAATATAAATAACTTATATAGGTTATATATTTAAACTAATTGTTAGGATTACAGTATGTATTTGTCCAAAAGAGGCTTCCAGTTATCATTTTTTATTCCATCTTCAGTGTAGACATCTTCAAAGTCAGACAAAATGTTCATAATTTGTCTAAAACTTTATGGTGTAACATGGCTTTTAGYAAAACATCTCATGAACCATTGAATGAAATTTAAGAAAATGTCAGAAAGTAAAGATGAAATGAACTCAGACCACAGAGAATCAGTCTGGTTTTATKTTTATGTCAGTATACAGTCATAAAGAAAGCAACTCAATGTTTACATATACATATGAACTGTGATAGGGGTTAAATTTGCCCATTTCTTTTGTCAGTAAACTCAGGGATCATTAAGTATGTTTGTTGTGCATTCATCTCATTTGACATGATCCAACCAGAACTCAGTATTTAGACACATTTTGTTWGTTCATTGTTAATGATGCTCGGATAAAACCATGTTGACTTTACAGCTTTGATAACAAGCAACCAGATTTGTTTCCTTCTGCTAGGAAAATAAATGTTTTATTTTCAGCAGACAAAATGTCTAAAAGAGAAGTATTTATTTAGACTCRCATTGAAGTGATTTGTAAATCAAAGCTTTGAACATTTTATAAGGTGTCGCATGAAAAGAAAAATGGTTTTTAAGTGTGTCACTATCTGTGTGCGTGTTGAGTTGACTTATGGGACTAATCTCTTTGAAAATATGGGCGGTGAGCTTGTTGAGTGATTTATTTACCTGGACTAGAATGAAGCAGATTAATCTTCTCCCAAGAATTGTTTTAGGTTGGAACATGATCTGATTTTGCCTGTAACAGAAAATAAATAGTCCCTCAACACAAACATATTTTCAGTACAGGTTTCCCCTGCACCATGTGTAAATAAAGTTAAGTTGTTACAAAGAGGACAATCCAGAATTTGATTGTTTATACTTTTGTAATCCTCACAGTTTTTTTAGCCATAAATATAAATGTTTTTTGTAGCTCTGCAGTAGAAATTTACCTCCTCCTCCTAGCAGCAGATGATGGAAACATAAATGTAGTAGTTCAGATCTTTTAAAGTGGGGCTCTCCAGAAAGGTTTTTGTTGTAACTGTTGTAGATGGCTCTTTGAGTGACCTCAATTTGGAGAAACAATTTTATTCTGACATTTGATGAGTTAGTAGCTAGTCTGGTGAGGCCAAGGGGATGGCTGCAGTCTTGGAAAAAAAGCTCTCTAATTTCTAAAAAAAATGTTGTATCTGATTATGAAAAAGCTTCTTTGTTGTAAATTTCCACATTACTTTTTTTCTTTATTTTATTTAAATTGTTTTACATATGATTCTAGCTGTGGTACTTTAGTTGCAGCCTGGGTTATTTTTAGCAGGAATATTGCAATATTTTTGCTGGAAAAACTTATAAATAAATCTTTATTTATACAACTTTTAAAACCAAAGATACAAATAACTTTTTATAAAAAAAGGATAAAAATTAGAAAGCACAAAATAAAAAGAATACCAAGGAATGAGAAAAAAAAAAGCATTATCATCTATCTGGTCAGACTCRGAATTAAATTCACATTCAAATTTAGATGATATTAGAACTTTATTGTCACTGTACAGAGCACAATGAAATTACAGTTCAGAACACCCATTCTGAAGAAGACAGAACATAACAAACATGGGAGAACAGGTGCCCTGGGTCATGCAGCCACCGACCCTGCACAGAGCAAGGATCATCTTCATCAAGACATCATGAGGAGGCGCAACCCTTAACAGAAAAACTAAAAAACACACAAGATGAGGAAAAAAACAAAACAAAACATCATATTATATCAACAATGTGACACACTATGGTGTTCAGTGTTGTTTGTATAAAGTACCTCAAAGTGATACTTGAGTAAAAGTACAAGTATCTTATCATAAAAATACTTTGGTAAAAGTTAAAGTCTTCTCTAAAAATATTACTTGATTAAAAGTCTTAAAGTATCAGAATTCTTTTGTACTTAAGTATCAAAAGTAAATTTCTGACACAAAATCTACTAAAGTATTAAACGTAAAAGTACCGAGTAAAAGTGAGCAGTTAGATTTTCCAAAATGACATTTTTTGGGAGGTGACTTCTCTAAAAAATATTTTTGATGATGGGTTGTGTACAAGCTAATAGGGTGTCAGAATGGTATATATTTATATTTCTCATCCAACCATAATTAAATTTACTCTATCCAGGAGACACAATTTATCAGGATAGTATTTTTTAAGTAATAACAACTCAGAATAAAATAGGAGTAACATCTTTCTACTTCTTACCTTTTAAAAAATGTAGTGAGTAGAAAGTACAGATAATTGTGTAAAAATGTAATGAGTAAAAGTAAAAAGTATGCTGAAAAAGAATTACTCAAGTAAAGTACAAATAACCAAAATTTCTACTTAAGTACAGTAACAAAGTATTTGCACTTAGTTACTTTACAACTCTGATGGTGTTTATTAAAAAAAAACTCTGCATAGAGCACATTTATTAGCCAGAGGAGTAAACGAGTTTAGGGTTGATCTAAGAGCTATTTAAGATTAAGAGAGTTAAGAGAGTTAAGATACTAGTTGTTTAAAACCTTTTTGTAAGATCTAAACAATCAGGGGTGTCAAACTCATTTTCACCAAGGGCCACATGAGCGTTATTATAGCCCTCAAAGAGCCAGGTGTAATTACCGTATTTTTTGGACTATAAGCCGCACCCCCAACATAAAAAAACAGTACACCCAAATTTGCAGTCAAAAAAGTGAATTCAACATCAAAACATAAAAAGCAAACCTTTAGGAATTAAAGTTCGGAGGAATACGGTTCATTTAACTGACCTTATTTTGGTAGTTTTCTTTAACAGTTTCTGGTCCAACAAAAAGTCTCATTCATCTTCCTCCGGCGCACTGAAACCATCGAAGTCCTCTTCAGTGTCGGAGTTAAATAAGCTGAGAAAAGCTGCGTCACACAGCGGTATCTGTTCAGTGTTACTTTCTGTGTCGCTGTCCTCCCGGGGTAATGCTGGCTCTGAAGCTGTGGTGGGATAGCCCTCCCGCTCCAGCATACGTCACTGCATGGGATTCCTTCCCCGGGTAGTGCAATGAGGAAAAAAAAAGTCTGCGGCTCTTCACTCGTCGTTTATCCACAAACTGGTCCTGGATTAAGCTCCAAAGTTTTTACCAGTCAGATTCCACCGTGAAAAATGTCTGTTTTATCCCCTTTTATGAGTTTTTGGCCATTGACTAACTTTAAATCGCTGCTTCCTGGTCAACAGTCGGCTCTGGAAGCGATCGCTTTTTTCTTTTTTTCTTTTCCTTTCTTTTTTTGAAGCGAGTGGTTGAAGCAAATGGAACATAAGAGCCCCCTGGTGGCTGAAGAAAAAAATCCATGTATAAGCAGCACCGGTCTATAAGCCGCATGGTTCAAAGTTCAGGAAAAAAGTCGTGGCTTATAGTCCGAAAAATACGGTAATCTTAACATTTTGTTTTGTGTGACTGAACAGGAAATGTCACGTAACTTGACTCATTGCTAAGGCTGAGCATCGCTAACAAACAATAACTGAGCTCTACTTGGTATTTTCTGCATAGGATCAGCAATTTAACACATCCTCTTATAAACACTGAACAGTACTACATATACGACTGCCTAAATGCGCAAAAAATAAAACAGAAATACTATTCAAAGTAAAAATAAGAGAGTTTATTCATTGTTGAGTTGTGGTAAGTCTTGAATTCTGAACTCTCCCACTTTCCAACAAGGAATTCCCATGCATAATCGACATGCATTGTGGGAGATTTAGCTCATGGTCAATGCTGGTTGTATTATTGTACAACAGCTAATAATAAGTATTATTATATTTCCCTTATTAAATGTGTTTATTGTGTTGCATTGAATTCTAAATTTAAAGTTTACCCTTTTGGTGGGCCCAACAGAAGTCACCTGCAGGCATGGAAACATACACTGATGACCAATAAAGCACCTTTACTTTTTACTTTACTTGAGTTTGACACGTGCTGTAAGTTTTTACCTTTGTGTTATTCAGTAAATGAAAAACTAATGAGATATCTCCTCTGTGTAGTGTTCTCACAGACAGCTACAACACTGGTTTAACTGCTGTTATGCTTTTTATGGAAAATAAAATTACTTTTCTAATTAAATGTGTTCATTGTGTAAGGTAAATGGGCTAAAATAATTACCCTCATTCACTACACCTGTGGCTGCAAAAGCTGTGACTAGAATTCCTATTTATAGGCCAGATTTCTGAGCCGTTAAAGCTGTGGATCGTTCACTCAATGCTAGTGTTGTCCTCACAACAAGCGAGCGAGCCCAGCTGTACGCTTGTTGTTTTGTTCTCGCAGCCCTCATCTTCCCCGCAAAGATGAAAACAGTTTTCTAAGCGCCAGCGAGTACACAGACAAGATTAATGACTATCGTGTGAACTTGGTGCTACATTTAGCTGTGCAAGGGACAAATAAATTTCTCTGAAGTTGGTAAAGCCCAAAAACAAAGCAGAGAGGTAAAAACGTGCATTTCTTTTCAGGTGTTCTAAAACATGACTTCAGTTATGAAGTCTGTCAGTGGCTGTGGGTAAAATGCACAACCTGAASATAAATTATGACCAGTCGTGATTATGAATGATGGTGTTTGTTTAAGTGATGTGTAAAGTTTAAACGTCCTCCCTGATCGAAAACTTTTGAGCAGGTTGATTTGATGTTGGGGAAACGATTGAGTGGCAAACACACAAAAAATGAAAAAGAAGGATGGAAGAAGACGGTGAGATATTAACCTTTATGGCCACTGGTTTGTAATGTTTTGGACCCATTTTAGCGTGACTCAGAAGGTAAAGTCAGAATCAGTGATTCATTTCCTGTGTTTCAGACTGTAGGTTGTTTAACTCTTATTATGGTGCGAGTGGATCCCACAGCTCCTTGGTGTTTCAGATTACATTTCCACATCTTTTTAGTTCACAGGTGTCATTTTCCCCCATGCTGCTGCCAATCCTAAAAAGCAAGCTGCTGTCAAAATGTGTCAAATCAGGTTCCAGATTTGCACTCACCTGTCTTCTCTTTCAGGAACTCCAAAAAGGAGCTAAATGACATCCGGTTTGAGTTCACCCCAGGCCGGGGTAAGAGCCGATCCATTTGTGATAACATCCTTTTGATTCTATCAGCCCTTGTATGTAAGGGGCGAATGTCAGTGTGTTCTGACAGCATATAAATCTGCTTCAATGTTTATTTCCTCCTAAGACACTGCTGATGGCGTCTCCCAGGAGCTCTTCTCAGCTGGTCTGGTCAATGGGCTTGATGTCGTAATTGGTAATGTTRCATTCATTTTCATAATAACAAGTTAGCCTATTTACAATGAAACATCTGCTAGAAAGTATATTTATTAATGGATTGATTTTGTCTGTAACGCCTGAAGAATCTGTAATGATCARAGTGATGATAATAAAATTAGCTGCTTTAGAAATGTTCTCCATATAAATTGAACTATTATTCTCTGTTGCAGTTGCTGCTAACCTCCAAAAGATTGTAGATGACCCAATTACCTACAAAGTATTGACCTTTAAGCTGGTGAGTTTCCAGATGATTGACTGTTGACGACAGCTCGTTTAGGTTTTTTGTTGTGCCCGACGGAGTCCAGCTGGTAACAGCCTGTTGATGCATATGGTCTGGTGAGAAATGTGGGAGCTGGAGTTAATAGAAATGCCTCAAACAAAACAAATAGCTTTAGGATGAAAGAGCATCTGTTGCCAGGGTTTTTCTGTCGRTAACACAAAGAAAACAACAGAATTAAAGGAGAGCTGACAATACTTTGTGAAAGGTTGGGGTAAAAACAAACCTAAGCACACAAGTTGTTTGACAAAAAYAGGATAAAAGAGGAATGAAGCCATTATTTTTGAACTGTCAAGTCAAGTTTGCATTCTCATCATTCGGACAGTTTGAAGAAATACGTGTCGAAAACAATTTATGTCAAAAAAACCTACACACATTCAGAGTGGAAGCTGTTCTGAAGAAAAGAAGGGAGAATCCACAACATGAACAGGACATTTTAACAGATACCCAAGCAGTGTTTCCCCTACATTGCTTTTTGAACACAGAATGGTTGACAGCAGAAACATTACTAGGATTTATTAAAGGAGAGTGCAGCTTTTTTAATTAAAAAA